TTTTTTATATGTCTTTGCTTGTATGAGAGGACAATTTAAGGAGGATGGCGGCGGCGACAGGGACAGAGATCTTGAAGGCAAACTCTCCGACTATGATTATCTGGTCGGAATGGCGCTCATCAAGCTTTCCGAAGAGGAAAAGAACAAGCTGCTGAAAGAAAGTGACGATAAACTTCGAGAACTGCGCGATTTGGAGTCGAAGACCTGGGCTGATTTGTGGAATGCCGACTTGGAGGTGTTCCTCGAAGCTTTGGAGAAGCAGGTACGCTATCAGAATGTGTGTTATTTACGAATTTCTGAAGAATTTTTTGTAAAGGAAGCCAAAGAGAAGGCCGATTTGGAAATTAGCATCAAAAACGCTATGAAGAAGTTTACAAAGGAAGACAAGTCAAGAAACAAGAGGACAGCTGCTTTTGCTGCGGTAAGTCTCCTCACACAATGGGAGAAATATTTTGATTGCCCTTATTTAGGAAGTGTTCCCGGCCAAGGATGGTATGCGAGTACTGCCGAACATCGATAAGTCTTTGAAAGAAAAGTATGAGAAGATCAGCGCTGCTGCCACTCGCGAGAAGAAGCCAAAAGAACCGAAACCTCCTAAAGAGCCGAAAGAAAAGAAGCCGAAGAAAGAGGGTGATGATATTAAGAAGTTCATGACGGTGAGGATTTTTCCAATATTGGCATGCATTCTTTTTTATATCTTGTGAAGTGGAAAAGTGGATATTTTCTGCTCAGGGCGAGAAGAAGAGTCCCAAGAAAAAGAAAAGGGATGAATGGAACTCGGATGAATCGTCCACCGAACTCAGCGATGTGGATGATGTGAGCTGACTTTTGATGAAGTTTACCCTTCTATGTTTTCCTCTGTTTTAGCTGGAGGAAAGCGCCTTATTTGATGATGAGGACGATGATGTTGTGGAGGAAGTCTTGCCGCCGAAGAAAGACCGTGCTTCAAGGGGACCGGTAAGTAATCAGGCCACACGTTCAATTTTTCAAGCACTATTGTCTTTTTCAAACGGAAGTAGCACATTTTTTT